GAAAGCGAGCATCCCAACTTCAAAATTTGATTAAGAAAAAACACTTTTATCTTTGACCCTGGTTGACTCTTCTTGGATGTGTCTAAGTTTTTTCATTTTTTCTAACTTAGACATTATTTTTGAAGCTTAATTTATATTAGGAACAACCCTCCTCTTTTGCAAAATAATAATAATAATAATAATAATAATAATAATAATAAAGAAAAAAAACATAGTGTAATCTCACAAGTAGTTTTTGGAGGATAAGATGCACACAAACTTTATCTTTCTACCTTTGTAAGGTAGACACGATAGACTATTTCCGCTACATCCTCGACTCAAAAGAGAATTATCTTTGGGCTTCTTCATATCGGGACTGCTCAGCTGAAACTAATTTTGGCCAATATTCAAGTCCTTGGGCCTAAAACAACGATAGCCCAATTATGAAATCCTTAACCTAACTATGTAGTTTGTTTTTAGTATTTTAATCCTCAGTTTACAAGCTAAAATAAGCAATTCTTTGTACAATTTTATTCAGAGAGAGAAATACATAAAATATCCCAAACTTGTTCTTCTTGATTTTCTGTGAAATCTTTGAGAAAATAATCTTATTTGATTGGTTTATTAATTATATTTTCTAGTAAATTGAACTAAGTAAATTCAAAAATCGGCAACGTTATTTATTATATTCAAAATATGTAGTGTAATATTAGTAACTTAATCTTGATACTTTTTTAAAGAATCTTGACAATTTTTAAAATAAAATATGATTGACTGTGAATAGATTCAGAATAAACAAACATAGAAGTAAAATAAAGAAGAATACTGTAAAGCAAAAAGGAAAAAAAAACACAAAAGATTATAATTAAGAAAGCTTGATGAAGTAGAACACTTAACGAGGCATGACAAGGCATGCTAAATTTAGTGAATTAAGGTTAGTCTTTTTCTTTCTGTTCCACTTTGTTTGTCATCTGTAATTTTCACATATTTATTTCTTCATATTCTGAATCCCTTAATAAAAACTTTATTTTCACCACATATTGTGCGATACAACACTTAAATAGTTGCAATCTCATATATATGAATTATAGATTTATAGCCTCTTACAATCATTGTAAATCGGTCCATGTGGATCAAAATGACTTGCAAAGAGACCATATAATATTTGTGGGAAGCATTGAAGATCAAGTACAAAGAGCATGTAACAATCGGATTCCGTCGTTATAGAGAAGCCAACGGGGAAAATTTTGGGTTGGAAAACCTTTTCATAGTAATTTGGATTTTTCCAATCTAGTCCAGATTTGGACGGAATCGGAGTCATTAAGGTGTAGGGAAATCTAGTAACAATTGGGCGATTTATTTATAATTCTGATTACATGAGGGGATAGATAACTCGTTAAGGAATCCGTACAACTTTACAGAATTGAATTCGGGCGAGTAGAACTCCCAAAATCGATCTTAGCGTGAAGGGTATTTTCTGAGCGTCGTTGGTTAAATGTGTGTTGTGAAATGGATATTTTGGAATTATTAAAATAGCTCACTGGTTCGTGCAAGCCGCCTTGGCGGGAATTTTTGCCGCTCTGGCGGGGACGCTACAGCGGGGTGAGGGTCGTTGTGGCAGGCTCGACGCGACTTAAGGTCGTTAATAAACCCTTAAACGACCTTATTATGCACTTTCGACTTTTAGAGCTAAGGCACGAACCCCAGGCGACTCCTACTCGTTTTTCACCATTCTTGAGGCTAAAGGTAAGTTTTTCACTCCCCGAATCCATTTTTCGATCCATAGAACATAATAGAATGGATAATTAATGATGGGGGAGGGTTTTGATCTAGATTCTATGGTGGAAACAACCCTAGTTGGGATCATGGGTATGATCTAGGGTTCTTAGAATTGTTAGTGATTCGGTAATTAGTGATTGTTTATTGATTCCCGTGTTATTATGATTGTTTGTAGACCAAGAACAAGCGAAACAAATCCGTAAATGAAGGATCAAGTTTCTTAGGGTTTCAAGATTGTTTCGAGGTAGGTGATGGTTGTGATTCTGTGATGTACGTTTGTTCTTGCTTCATTATGATACTTACATGTATTTGAATGTTTCATTATTGATCACACTTGATATAAATGAGATATATGAATGATGATTGCCATGAAATCATGACTTAAATGTATGATCTTGAGGATGTACTTGTGATTGTGATTATGGTGTGTTGAATGGATCGGTTGCCACGTTCCGACATAACCAACTTGGATGGTTGCCAAGTTCCAGCATAACAATGGGATCGGTTGCCACGTTCCGACATAATTATTGGATTGGGTACCACTTTTCGGTATGCTAACTGTTTGGATTTGGGTTTCATGAGAGGACTAATGATTTGATATAATTGTGTATCTTGAGAAATGTGAAGTTGTTCGTTGTTAGTAAATGTTGATAATATTGTATATGTTCGATATATGCATGTGATTATATTGTTGTGATGACTTATGTATGTTGCACTTAGTGGGATAGCCGTGTGATCCTACTAGTACACTGTGGTTGTGTACTGATACTGCACTTGCTCTTATTTTTGTTGAGTACAAGGCATCTTCAAGTGGCTATTGACAGACCTCGCTTAGGAGATTAGTGATTGTTCGAATTAAAGGGTGAGTCAATTCTTCCGGGCTACCATGGGTTCTCTTTCGTTTATGTCTACCATTTTCGGACTTAGACTATGTTTTAGTTAGTTGATTAGTTCATTAGATTGGGGTTGCATCCCTTTTTGTTTAGACTTGTTGAACTTTAGATGTTTTGGTACATTGACTTTCAGGCTGTAGGTTATTTCTTCCGCATTGTTTAGTTTGTTGTTAGACTTTTGTTGGAGTTTATGGTTACTCCCTATTTCTTTCCTTAGTATTTAAATTGTTTTCGTATCCTTAAATGCCTTAGTTTTAGATTAGTTATTTGGTTTGAGTTGTAGTAGTAGTTCTCCCACCGGAGTGTTAGTTGTTTTATTAGAAAATAGAAATGACTGGTTTTAAGAGTCGCCACTTAATTTTTAAGAAAATCAAGAAAAACTGTTGTTTTCAAAAGACTAAAACAGAAAATCTAATGAAAACTTAAAAGGGGTTCGGGGTTCTTATTAGCATTTCGGGAAGGGTTTGAAAGCACCCGAAATGCCCGCTAATATGCGGTTATCCGACAATTAATTATTTGGCTAAAATATTTTAACCCATCTTGAATTGTAAAAGTGAACTACTTTATAGTTGAGACCATTTTAATAGAAAAATAATGAAATATTATCTAAGTGAAGTATTACATAAACTTATTTATTTATTATTTATTTATTTTATAAGTCAAGTAAAAAGAGGAATAATTTAGTTAAGCGATTAATTTAAAATGGGTGTCTTTTGGGGATTTGAAGTTTCGAGACCTTAATATTAATGTTAACAAATAAACACATAATAGCAGTTAAATAGATAGGGAAAGAGAATTTGGGCCCAAATCTGATTTTCCTGTCTGCCTGGGCCAGTATTTGGGCATATTTTCGTTTTGGACCTTTTGGCCCGATTTTTGTCACCTTTGTACCTGTCCTAGACTAAATTGAATTTTATTTTTGTGGGCCTTAGGCCCATCTTCCACCTGTCCTAAATTCTAACAAAATAGTAATAAATGAAAGTGAAAATTTCTAATATGACATATATTATACTAATATTTTCGAGTTATAGCAGTAGATTTAGACTTTCAAGTTATAACATTAAAAATTTCAGGTTGTAACATATTATTAAAATAAAAAAGTATTTCTAATAATTAAAAACATTTGATTTTGAAAATAATAAACTGATAAAAAGAAATTAAAATAAAACATTTAAGAATGAAAAAATGAAAAAAAACGGAAATAGGGGATGGCTTTTAAATTTGAATTAAATTAAGATAACTATTAATTAGCACGAATTAAGGAATTTCAAACTAATTAAGAATATTCAGATTCCTTAATTCACTCCAATTTGTTAAAATTAATTTAAAAATCAGATTTGTTATCCATTTTTCTTTTATGTTTCTCTCTCTTCGTCTTTTCTTCCAGAAATTGAGACTGTCGGCAATTATTTATTTATTTATTTTGTTGAAAAAACGTGTTTTTTTTTGTGATGGACAACTACGTATCAATATTAATTAAACATGGCAGAAGATGGATTGCTTCAGGTTATTATTTTTAATTGTTTACTGTTTTTATTTGGATTTCAATGAAATAGAAAAAAATGAAAATGTAAAGCGTAACTACATTGAATGTGATATTTTTTTATGTATAAACAATACGTTTTGTTCATAATACTTATTATTTGTTGTGAAATTGTAATATTAGTGATTTTTTTGGTAAATTTCTGTTTTTTGGTAGTGGTTTAGTGTAATTATAATTAATTTGGTACGAAATTGTATTCATTAAGGTGAAAAAAAGGTTGTTTATACTTTTTGAAGAAATAGATGACAGTTATTTTAAGTTAATATGAAAGTGTGTTAACTAGTTAGGAAAAAAAGTTATTTTAAAGTTTGAATAAGTGTATTAAAAATGTTTTAAGTTGGTATGAAATTCAAAATGCTATTATTTGTATAAGTTTTTCAGTTATGTATAAATTTGTGCGAAAGGAATGAACTATTTGGTATGAGAAATGTATAAATTTTGGTATATATGAATGCTATATTAAGTATGTATGAAATCTGTTGTATGTTTTTTAAAATGAAATATGTTTGTAGTTTACTGTATGAATGATTCGAGAATGAAAAAATAATGACAAGTTTGTGTAATTTTTTATTTATTTATTATGTAAGACTAATTTTAGTTTTTTTAATGAAACAGGGAAATATGTTGATTTTCAGATGGAGGGGATTATATTTGAGTATTCTAGTCTTTATAGTGGTCTAGTAAGTGCGATAACATCGCAGCTAATGATAGATGCTAATATTCACAATATTGAGATAAAATATATAGTTAGTGATAGATGTCCCCCTGTTAGTATCCACAATGATGTAGGTGTGCAGGTTTTTTAATATCCATTGTGCATAACTTTGAAGAATATAGCAATAGATAATCAGGATTCTGTAGTTGTTGTGGATAGGAGACATTCTGATGTTAGTAGAACACTAAATAACTTTGATCTATACTCTAGCAACTCCATCCGCTTGATAGGAGTGAATTTAGATGGAGTTGTCGATGAGAATACTCATGAAGGAAATGGAGTAATCACTGACCTTTCTAATTTATTTATAGCTGAAAATCAAATTTACAATGATAAAGAAACACTTATGGAGGTTATGCGACATTATGGAGTTGTGGAAAAATTCAGATTTCTTGTGACTCGTTCTAGTTCATCTTGGTAAGGATTTTATTTTTTGTTTGAATTTGTATTTATTTTGTAGTGTATTTAGTATATCAGTTTTTAATGGATTTTTTTTGTTTTTTAAACAGTTATTACCTGAAGTGTCCTGCTGATAATTGTTCCTGGATGATGAACTCATCATGTTTGAATCAATCGAAGCTATTTAAAATTAGAAAGTACTGTGCGGAACACACTTGTTCCGTTAGAGATAGAGTGTATGCAAGATGTCAGGGAATAACTGACGTTGTAGTTGTTTTAATAATGGATAAATTTATTGATCCATCGACTGTATACACTCCAAAAGATATAGCGGAAGACGTTTTGAAAGTGCATGATGTTGCGCTAACATACATGCAGGCCTGGAGAGCTAAAGAAAAGGCGATAAAATTGGTGCGTGGAGATCTAGCAGAATCATATGCCAAACTTCTAGGTTTTTTTTATAACTTAATTTTGTATTTTATATTACTGACTGAATTGGTGTGAATTTTAAAAATGCAACAATCTGGCATGCAGTTTGTTTACATATTGAATTCCCAATATCCATTTTGTTTACTTTCTGTATCCAATTAGTATCCATTCTATATATAATTTGAATATAATTGGTTTCCATGTTTTATCCAGCTAGTATATTTGTTGTGTTGTAATGTTCAGCTATATAATTATAAAATTAATTGTAAAAACTGAAAAAATTCCAGGTTATCTATACATATTGGAGCAGACATATCCTGGTTCAGTTTTAAAATTAGAAAGGACGGAATGTGATAAATTCTTATATGCATTTGTTGCATTAGAAGCATGTATTAGAGGTTGGGAGTATTGTAGGCCAATTGTAGTTGTTGATGGGGCAGCTTTGAGAGGCGCATATGGTGGTACAATGTTGACTGCAAGCACTATGGATCCAGGAGGTATTTTTTAAAATCTTTACATTTATAATCAACAATAAATTTGTATGATATTTGTTTTAATTAATGCATCAGGTCACATACTTCCACTTGCTTATGCCATAGTGGATTCTGAGAATGATGCATCATGGACCTGGTTCTTTGAACAGTTTAGGGAAGCATATGGAGAAAGGGAAAACATGTGTTTTATGTCAGATAGAAACGAGAGCATATGGAAAGGGACTGCAAGAGTATATCCTGGTTTGGAACATTTTGCATGCATATGGCACTTATGCTGTAATGTTTTGAAGAACTTCCATAGGAATACTGAAGATTTGAAGAAGCTATTTTTACAATGGCAAAGGCTTATACAATACAACAATTTGAGGCGATTATGCAAAGAATAGACCAGATAGATCCAAGAATAAGAGATTATTTATATGATATCGGGTATAGCAAGTGGTCAAGGGCGTATTCAAAATATAAGCGAACATGGACCATGACTTCAAACATAGCCGAATCTTTGAATAATGTTAACAGGATAGCAAGGAGGTTGCCAGTGATTTCATTTCTTGAATTTATGAGGGTAACAGTTCAAAGATGGATTCATAAGCACAATGAGGAGGCTGCAAAAACTAGATCAGAGCTTACAAAAAAATATGATCTTGTGCTCCATAAAAGTATTGCTTTGTCTAGCAGTATGAGGGTATGATTTTCCATTTATTATTTATTATTTAAATTTATTCATGTATTAAATTAGTATGATTATTGAATTAATTTTGTATAAATTGACAATTAGAATAAACAATACCTTTTTTTTGTGACTTTTTTTTTGTAACAGTATTTTAATGAGCAATACTTTTGTGTGTTAGGTAATACCATCAACAGTTGATATGCATGCTGTTGTTGATGGACCAAAGCGGTACATAGTAAATTTAAACACTAAGATGTGTAGTTGCGGAAGATTTCAAAATGATGAGATACCGTGCGGGCATGGAATAGCAGTTCTTAGATACAGAAGACTACATGAAACAGATTATTGCTCTCATTTTTATAGCCTGAAGAATTTTCAAGATACATATGCCATCCCTGTTGAACCTCTCCCATGCGAGAGTACATGGGATATACCAAGTTATGTTTCAGAGCCTAAATTGATGCCGCCTGGTCCAAAGAGAGCAGCAGGAAGACCACAACTGGAACGCTGGAAAGGGTTTGCTGATGTAAAATTCAAAAGGTCTAAAGTTACTTGTAGTAGATGTCGTCAAGTTGGCCACAACAGGACGACATGTTCAAATTATCATGTGCAAAAAAAATGATTATTTGTTTTGTCTTTTAGACTAATTTTTTGATTTGATATAAAACATAATTGCTTTGAAATGCATTATAACTAAGTGTTTAATATACTGTCAATTTTTTATACGCAATGCATTCATTAATCATACAAATTTCATACTGTTGGAAATAAAATTTATTTCAATTTAATATATAAGATAGTGTTAATATTAGTGATAATTATACAAGGTAATTATGGAATGCATTTGGTATCCTGAGTAATATCAAATCTTTATACTAATTCATGCATACAATATTCCTACCATCAAAACATTAAAGTCAGATGCATACATCTATTAATCAGATTTCATACACATTCCATCAAAAATATGTTTATAATATAAAACTGGCATACCCAAAAATGGTATATTCGATGTGAAATATATAGCCCAAATAGTGAATCCAACTGGTATGAAGTCTGTATATAATTGGCATCCTGATAAATGGTAATTCTTTTGTACATGTATTAATCCGATTTCATACACATTCCATCAAAAAATATCTTTAGAATATAAAACTGGCATCCCGGAAAATGGTATATTCAATGTGTAATATATACCCCAAGTAGTGAATCCAACTGGTATGAAGTCTGTATATAACTAGCATCCCGATAAATGGTAATTCTTTTGTAGATGATATCTGATTGGAATTAAACAGATGATATTATATATCATCAAATACTTTAACACAAAAAATTGTCCAAAAGTTAAAAATAAAATAAAATGTTGTTCTAAAAAAGTAGAAGGTGCAATATACTATATCTAATTTCTTGTCTGTTGTCTTGGTGTAGGATAGTTGGTGGTATCCGGAACATGTTCTTTTGCTATACGAGGTCCACCAAATTTGCTAGCAACCGTACCAGTAACTTCACTCTCACTGATCGCACCATCCTCATTCTTTGTTTTTCCATAATGCCAAAGGATTGTGGCATACCTTTGACGATGGTACTTTGCATCGATATCAATAGAACGCATATCAAAAACATCATTACTGATGTATTCAGCAAATAGACATGTGTACAAACCACAATCACTGAAAAAATGAAAAAAATAAGAAAGAAAAAAAATTTTAAGAAATAAATTAATTTAACTCTTTTCTAATGAAATCAATTAAGTATAAAAATACGTACTTTGAAATATCTTCTTGTTAAGGAACATGCATCATATGCTTGATATCAAGTGGGTCGGATTGAGACTTGTGTACATATTTAGGGAGTTTATTTGCATACAAATCAAGCCTTTTACCATAAAATCCAGTGCTCGTCAGAAATAGTGGTATCATTGTTGCAAGTTTACCAACTGCTTCATTTACTTTCTTGGTGTGAACAGCTTCTCCCTTCATTGAGTCGTATACATGTAGACATCTAAGCTTGATTCTGAATACAACCAAAAACCAATGAAATTTCTCACTAATATTGACAGGAATAATGACATTGTCAACTTTGTCCCAAGGAATGTTGGCAAGCAATTTGAAGCCTCTAATGCACTGTCCAACATCATGGTCCGGAGAAATGGATCTCATGTCGCAATTTGACTCTCTCCATTGTTTCTCAATGTTATCAACCCACGTCATAAACCAACAGTCAACCGTACTGTATGATAGTGGTATGGAAGAGTACTTTGCCTTCTTTCACAGATAATACATAATGGTATTAACATGCTGTTAACATTTAAAAATACATTAAAAAATGTTTCAAATATATACAGAATCTTCATGAAAGTTTATTTTTATTCCAAATTAAATCAAAAATCATAACAAATGCATACATGAACACTGTATACCAAGTTTATTCAGAAATCATTCAATATGCATACAACATGGATATATATATTTTAAACAGAAACTACAAAAATAAGGAATACGAGTTTTAAATTGACATTTATAAAAGGTTTATATATAAGACTTACCCCGTCTTTCCAAGGCCTGCCAGGTTTAACCATTATGTTGAAAAAATCCTTTTCTGCAACTTTGACAACACCAAAGTCCATTTGAGGTTCAAAACTATCTTTGAGCTTTGAATAAGCAGATTTCCTGTGAACAGTAAGAATATATTAAAAACAGTGTATACAAATTGATTGGATAATATTGAAAGAAAAAAGATTGCTTTATTTTTTATTTATACATATACCTGCCACGCCTAGATGAGACATCTTTGAAAACCTATTTGTTAAACTCATCGATCAACTCAGTTGAAACCTCAAACCCATTGTGACTTTCAAACGGATGTTTAATAGGAAATAAAATAGGAACTCTTCTTGAACTGCTTTCGCCTTCTGACAACCGAATATACGGAGATGTGTCATACTTGCCGGGGTTCCTATTTCTTGGTTGCACATCTGGGGTTGTGTTAGCATTGAGAATTGGATCAAGTGCAACAATCTGTGTCATAGTAAAATCTGGATAATCATCCAATGTTGGTGGTTTTGTATTTGATGATCCAGGTATATCAGCATTAAAAACAACACCAATTGTTTGGTCATTTGACTTCTGAGCTTCATCTATATATTTTAAAAAAAAATGTTAAACAAACTTTGAAAGTGAATATACATATCATAATAAGATTGAAATGCATACCATCCGTGTTTGAAGTATGAGCGTATTCTCTCATAGAAACTGAAGGCTGATCCATTGGAGCTTTTTCAGATTCTTCAACATGTTGACGGGCATCATCCTAATGGATGACGTAATATAAAATTCAATCATAAAATAATGCGAAAAACTGTCGCATATAAAATTTATACAAGATTAATACAGAAGTTTAAACAACCAATAATAACATTTCACTAATGTTGCCTTCACATATTTAATATTGTATTAATACCAAAATTGAACCAACATAAAAAATTGAACAATAATAGTCAAAACATTATTAATACAAAAAGTTAATAAAAAAATTATAACAGCACTGACAAAACTGGAAAATCATACCAATTTAATTCAAATATTAAACAGACAAAAAATGAAAATAATTAAACAGGCATAATCTGTATAAACGTTTTGGTCATACCAATTTAATACCAATATGAAACAGTAGAAATTGTAAAATCATGCATAGAATTTGGTCATACCAAAATAATACTAACTTAAGTCTAAATTCGTACATCTCATATTTACTTACACATACACACTTCGTATCATGATACACCAACTGTTTCAGTTTTTTAACTTGTAAAACCATTTAATACCTGTTGGTGTGTTGCTTGTGATGGTTGACCTCTTGAAGACCTAATCTCCTCAATTATCAACTTTGTAGAATTGTCGACATATGCTTTCATGTCGGTCATGTGCTTGTCAACCTTATCAATAGATGTATACATATATGTTAAACAGTAAAATATTACAGAAACATAAATAATAAAAGTTAATTGATACAGGGATTGAAAAATAACATTATCTTTCAGTTCTTTCAACTCCATCCGAACCTGTCATTAAACATTGAAAAGGTGTATAAAATCTTTGTAATATGGTTAAAAAAATATTAAATCATAATTTTTAATTGTATACCTCCGCAATTTCCTTTTTCAACTCTACATACTTTTCGTCAAAGTCAGCGTCGTGCCTTTCTGATGTTGCTTCATTTTCTGTCTCATGTTGACTAGAAGATTGATGCAAATTGATCTGATCCATGGCATTTAACTCTTCTTCAGTAAGCACTATGTTTCTGAATTTATGCTGTGATAACAAAATAAGATATGAGAACTAAAATTTATAAAAAAAAATGTAATAACTTAGAATTAGTAAATGACAATAACTAAACGATAATCTGGTTGCCATGTGTTCTGAAAATTGTATTCTTTAGGTCATCGAAGAAAATACTCTCATTCGATGTCTTCCAGTTGAGAATACGTGGTGTGACATTTGAAACACGGATAGCAACTGAGTTGTCAAAAGGATGACAACACTCATAAAACCAAACCTGCAATGCTATATGGAATTGACTGAATTTGAATAACGTAGGATTCTTTCCCAATCTACGACTGCAAGCTTTGAGAGTTAATCTAAAACATTCATTGCCCCATGGGAAGTTAACATATTGACCGGACTCAACCAAATCAAAATACAATTTAGGAATGGTTGTTTTTGAGGCCTCCGAACCAGTCAAAAATGAAGTAATGAAGTACAGAATGTCAATTTTTAAGCGGTCTTCAGTCTCAAAAAAGTTAGCATGTTTAAACTTATTGAAGAAGTCTAATTTGGGAACTTTAGTCATATCCCCAAAATATTTTAAGATACTTCTATTGGGAATATACGGATCTGAAAAAAAATCAGTAAGAAGTCCACATTTAAGACCAGTTATCGCAGCAAATTCCTTGATTCCAAAACGTAATTCTGTACCGTTTATTTTCACAACAAACATGTCGTCTCTGACATTTTCAGATTCAAGAATCATCAAATGTCGCAATAGTTGACATTGAATCTTTATGTGGTGTATGTCATAAAATACACCAAAAGGTGTTTGTTCGAGAAATTGTTGAAACCTCTCTTGCCCAAGGAAATCCAATAGATCAGCAAAAACATTCATGTTTGTACATGAAGACCAGTGTGTGTATATCTTCCTTGCCTATAAAATAAAAAATGTTTATACTAAATTAAAACACACTTCATACAAAAGTTATTCAAGTTTCATTCCATCAGTATGTGGATACAAATATTATTCATGTTTCATACACATGCATATACATAATTTTAGTGTGTGTATATCTTCCTTGCGTATAAAATAAAAATTGTTTATACTAAATTAAAACACACTTCATACAAATGTTATTCAAGTTTCATTCCATCAGTATGTGGATACAAATATTATTCATGTTTCATACACATGCATATACATATTTTTAGTACTGCCTTATTCAATATTTATAAAAAAATTCACACCAAACTTAATCAAACATCATACCAGCTTCATTTGCACTGTTGCATTCATCAATCTATTTTCATAAATTTATCGAAATACGCTAACAATAATTTAACAATTTTAATACATTAATGGATAAATTGAATAATAAACCTTCTTAATAGGAAAAATCTCAATTTCATATTAATATTATTCTAAATTTATACAAAACAGAGTAATTAAATAATTCATACCATATACAAAATTAATAGACCACCAACCAATGTTAACACACAATTCATACCATTTACCATACCAATATTGTATCAAAGTACATACAAATATTGTATCAAACATTAACCTCATATCCATACACATTTTATTCATATTTCGAACTATTTTTCACACATACAAATGTTTCGAAAAAAACAATAAGCATAATGTGATATAAAAAATCACTATTTTGGCTAATGTTGAATAAAATTAAATAAAGTACTTACCCTAACAACTTTTTTGTGTTTTTTGGATGTTGGTACTTCTGATTCCTTCTTTTTTGTTGTACTTCTTGTTGATGGTTTTGAAGATTGAGCAACTTCTACATTTGTTGTTTTTTTTCTTTTTTTCTTTTTTTCTTTTTTTCTTTTTTGTTTCACTAACAAAATCAGAATCAGATTCGGAAGGGGTTTCACAAATTTTCCCCTTCCTCTTCTTCCCCTTTTGATTTGTCGAAATCGGCCTTTTCTTTGCTTCATTTTTTTTCTCTTTTTTATCTTTCAACCGAGATGAACCACACGCCGCCGGAATTTCAGCCCTCGGAAT